ATTATAATTAAAGAATAATTCCAGTTCATTGCAATTTGGGTATTATTTCTGTAGTTTTGGCAACAAGCATTAAAAGGTTATAAATGTTGGTGAATTTATTTTAGACTAACAAGCCTGTCAATGGCAAAAAAGAACTTTTACTTTGACGGGTGCCAGGATTAACATTAGCTTATGTTGCGGCCATTGCAGCCCCTGGTCACTGCAGCCCTTTTCACAAATATTTACATCTGTCAAATAAGGATTTATTTCAACCAAACCAGTTGGGAGTGCTGACAGTTTTATTGAGTTCAATTTTGTTTCTGTCCGCTTCGAAAGTTACAACATTACGACCTATTTTATACTGATATGTGGCACTAAATACTAAACCTTTAGGTTTCAGTAGTTCTTGCATGAGGCCTTATTTTCCCCACAAACTCAGCAGATTGACTACACTGGCTTAATTAAAATATATGATTTACTGTTTTGGGTCATTCTGTTCCAGCTAAATCATGTGGAGTATCTACACATCTTCATTCTGACAGAGATAAAGTAACAACGGGCTCATTTCCTCCACATCAAAACAGAGCAAACTTTGAAGTCAGTAAAGTGAGAGAACATGCTCGAGGATTTAACTGCGTATGTCCTGAAAGCTAAATGAAGGGATCTTGGTACCACTGAGGTTTGAGGAGTACTTGTTATGCAGAACATTTGATGATGTGTTCAAGAGCGGACAGGAAACGTGCTTCACGTCCATAAATAAACTCTCCAGCCACTACAGTGTTTCCTGCCTTAATGCAGTCAGTTAAATGAGTGCAGTTGGTCTCCGAGGAGCAGCTCACACCTCCTTACAGCCGAGCTTATTGATTGTGTGAAATGAAACAGGCTTTCACCACAGGAAGCACACTTGGCTTAATGCTCAGCAGTTCTGTAGAGTTTAAAGCAGCTCTTAATGACTGCAGATTAAAGACTGTCTGAGCAGGTTAATAAGAGTATATCAGGCTCACATCACTGTAACACGAGAGGTCACTTTGTTTAACTCAGTAAATGTACCCGCTTTATATAAAATATATGAGCGAGGCAACTATTTTATAATCACATCCATATCCATAAAACACACCAACGCTCTCTTCGTTTCAGCTCTCAGGCTGTAAAAACTTCTGCAGCATTCAGCCCTCGCTGTCCTGCTGTTATTACAGACGTGTGAACTAACCACATACACTCGACTCACTCACAGCCTCTTCTGTTGAGCTGTGACATTTAGCGCACGAACGTCTGGGGCTTATGGTAAATAGTCTTTGTTAAAGGTACCATATGTGAGATTCTGAAGCATTTTATTTGTATGTATTAATCACTCTTTATTGCCAAATTGTGAACGGATTGTAACGTAACTTTTTTCGCTGCCTGTGGACTCATTTCTATGTGAAGGTTTTGGGTCCGACTTTCCGGAAAAATCAATATATATATCGATATAGGTTTATGCACAAGGGCTGCAGTGACCAAGTTTAGCAATGGCCGCAAGGTCCTTATTATTATTTTTTTTTAGCTAATGCTAATCCTTGGGGCCTGTCGAAGGTATGTCCACTAACAGTAGTTGTTGTTTGTTTCACTAACAGTAGTTGTAGTTTGTTCCACTAACAGTAGTTGTAGTTTGTTCCACTAACAGTAGTTGTTGTTTGTTTCACTAACAGTAGTTGTAGTTTGTTCCACTAACAGTAGTTGTA